ATACACACTCCCCACTTGAGCTTAATGGGTGTATAAAAAAAAATAGCACCCTTTCCTAAAAAACTCTAAACAATAACTCACAGAAACTTTTTTTTTCTGAGACAGTGTCTCACTCTTTCACCCAGGCTAGAGTTGCCGTGGTGTCAGCCCAGCTCACAGCAACCTCAAACTCCTGGGTTTAAGCCATCCTCCCGTCTCAGCGTTTCCTAGTTAGTAGCTGGGACTACAGGCGCCCACCACAACACCCAACTAATTTTTTCATTTTTAGTATTAATGGGGTCTTGCTCTTGTTCAAGCCAGGCTGGTCTAGAACTCCTGAGCTCAAGGGCCCACCTGCCTCTGCCTCTCAGAGTGGTAGGCCTGAGCCACCTCTCTCATCCTCATAGAAAGTATTAAAACTAAGAACCAGCAGAGATTCTAAATAGTGAATCTCTAAAGCCATATTTATTTAAATCAGAAACTAAATAAGGATAATAATATCATCATTATTATTATTAAATGTTGTCTAGCAAACATAATAAGATCAAAAATATATAAAACCACTCTGAAACTTGGAAAACAAGAAATAAATTTGTCTGTTTTCGTTGATGATATGATTACTTACTTAATAAAACCAAGAGATTAGTAAAAGTGACTAGACTTAGTATTTAGTGACACTGCTACATACAAGATAATTATACAAATATTGAGGATATCTCTCTATTCTAGTTGTAAGTAACTAGAAATGGAAAGGAATATATTTGTAATAACAACCAAAACTATGAAATATTTACATATATTATAAAAAATATATATAACAAGAAAGAAAAAGGTCCTACCTAAAAACAATAAAATCTGGCTCGGCACCCATAGCACAGTGGTTACAGAGCCAGCCACATATACCAAGGCTGGCGGGTTCGAACCCAGCCCCAGCCAGCTGAGCAACAATGATAACTACAGCAAAAAAAAAAAAAAAATAGCTGGGCATGTGGTGGGCACCTGTAGTCTCGGCTACTTGGGAGGCTAAAGTAAGAGAATCATTTAAGCCTATGATTTTCAGGTTGCTGTGAGCTGTGATGCCATGGCATTCTACTGAGGGCAACATAGTGAGACTGTCTCAAAAAAAAAAATGCAATAAAATCTAACTAAATGGTATAAATCTAGACCTGAAATAAAGAGAAAGCCATATCCTATTCTTGAATGAGAGTATATATATTTTACTTAAATTATCCTTTGTAAAATTAATGTATAAATTTAATGCAATTTCAAATAGAATCCTGACAGCATTTTTTTTTTTTATTGTTGGGGATGCATTGACGGTACAAGATACCAGGTAACACTGATTGCATTTGTTAGGCAAACTCCCTCTTATAATTGTATCTTGCCCCCAAAGGTATATCACACATGGAGACCCCACCCCCTCCCTCCTTCCCTCTCTCTGCTCTTCCTTTTCCCCTACCCCCCTCCTTCTCTCTCTTTCTGCTCTCCCCTTCCCCCAACCCCCACTGTGTACTAGGTCATTAATTGTCCTCATATCAAAATTGAGTACATAGGATTCATGCTTCTCCATTCTTGTGATGCTTTACTAAGAATAATGTGTTCCACTTCCATCCAGGTTAACACAAAGGATGTAAAGTCTCCATCTTTTTTAATGGCTGAATAGTATTCCATGGCGCATATACCACCATCCTGAGTTGGTGGGCATTTAGGCTGTTTCCACATTTTGGTGATTGTAAATTGAGCTGCAATAAACAGTCTAGTGCAAGTGTCCTTATGATAAAAGGATATTTTTCCTTCTGCATAGATGTCCAGTAATGGGATTGCAGGATCAAATGGGAGCTCTAGCTTGAGTTCTTTGAGGGTTCTCCATGCTTCCTTCCAAAAAGGTTGTATTAGTCTGCAGTCCCACCAGCAATGTAAAAGTGTTCTTTTCTCTCCACATCTACACCAGCATCTGTAATTTTGAGATTTTGTGATGTGGGCCATTCTTACTGGGGTTAGATGATATCTCACAGTGGTTTTGATTTGCATTTCTCTAATAATTAGGTACGATGAGCATTATTTCATATGTTTGCTAGTCACTCATTTTTTTTTTTTTTTTTTTTTTTGGTCAGGGCCAGGTTTGAACCTGCCACCTCCAGTATATGTGGCCAGCACCCTACTCCTTGAGCCACAGACACCACCCTCATCTGTCTTCTTTAGAGAAGGTTCTATTCGTCTCTCTTGACCACTGATGTATGGGATTGTTGGCTTTTTTCATGTGGATTAATTTGAATTCACTATAGATCCTAGTTATCAAGCTTTTGTCTGATTCAAAACACACAAATATCCTTTCCCAGTGTGTAGGTTGTCTATTTGCTTTGGTTGTTGTCTCCTTAGCTGTACAGAAGCTTTTCAGTTTAATTAAGTCCCATTTGTTTATTTTTTTTGTTTTTGCAATTGCCATGGAAGTCTTCTGCATAAAGTCTTTCCCCAGGCTGATATCTTCCAGTGTTTTTCCTACGCTTTCTTTGAGGATTTTTATCACTTCACGCCTTAAATTTAAGTCTTTTATCCATCTCAAATCAATTTTTGTGAGTGGAGAAAGGTGCAGGTCCAGTTTCAGTCTTTTACATGTGGATATCCAGTTCTCTCAGCACCATTTATTGAATAGGGATTCATTTCTCCCCCAAGGTATGTTCTTGTTTGGTTTATGGAAGATTAGGTGGCTGTAAGATGTTAGTTTCATTTCCTGGTTTTCCATTCGATTCCAAATGTTTATGTCTCTATTTTTGTGCCACGCTGTTTTGACCCCTACTGCCTTGTAGTACAGCCTAAAGTCTGGTATGCTGATGCCCCTGGCTTTGTTTTTATTACTAAGAACTGCCTTAGCTATATGGGGTTTTTTCTGGTTCCACACAAAACAAAGAATTATTTTTTCCAAGTCCTGATAGTATTTTTTAAGAGGCAGAGAAATGGATAAAATAATTATCCAAAATAATTGTTATTTGGAAAAAATAATTCCTAAGAATAACAACTGTTTGAAAAAGAATAGTTGGAGGAATTTATATTTCCAGGTCAGGACACACCAAAAAAACACTCTATTCAAATAAATACACTTGCTGGCATAGCAGTAGAAAACTATGTCTAGGGCCAAACAGAGAAAGCAGAAGCAGATCCCAGTGTGTTTAAGAGTCTAATACATAAAAAAGATGTTTTACTAATGGGAAAAGCTGGATTAGTTGGTCCTCAATCTTAGTGTATAAAATGATCAATTCTAGATAAAGACACATCAACAGTGAGACAGTAAAAAAAAAAAAAACTAACAGCAAAGAATTTTTCTTTCTTTTTCGGGAAACCACTTAATAATTTAACAGTAGGTCATGAATACTTAAATGCTAACATTTTAAATCATTTGATAAAGTCTTTGTAGTCACCCCCCTCCCCCCAAAATAAATAATTTAACAGTAGGTAATGGCTGGGTGCAGTGGCTCACACACCTAAACCCAGCACTTTGGGAGTCAGAGGTGGACGGATCACTTGAGGCCAGGAACTAGAGACCATTCTGGAAAACACAGTCAAACTACCCTGTCTCTACAAAAAAATTGTAAAAAATACGGGCAGCACCTGTGGCTCAGTGGGTAGGGCGCCAGCCCCATATACTGAAAGTGGCGGGTTCAAACCCAGCCCCAGCCAAACTGCAACAAAAATATAGCCAGGTGTTCTGTGGGCGCCTGTAGTCCCAGCTACTTGGGAGGCTAAGGCAAGAGAATCGCCTAAGCCCAAGAGCTAGAGGTTGCTGTGAGCTGTGATCTCATGTACTCTACAGAGGGCGATAAAGTGAGACTCTGTCTCTATAAAAAAATAATAATAATAATAGAAGCCAGGTGCAGTGACTCACACCTGTAATCCTAGCCTTTTGGGAGGCCAAGGCGGGTGGATTGCCTAAGCTCACAGGTTCAAGACCAGCCTAAGCAAGAGCGAGACCCCACCTCTAAAAATTGCCAGGTGTTGTGGCAGGCACCAAGTAGTCCCAGCTACTTGGGAGGTTGAGGCAAGAGAATCTCTCTCTCTCTCTCTCTTTTTTTTTTTTTTCAGTTTTTGGCCGGGGCTGGGTTTGAACCCACCACCTCCAGCATATGGGGCTGGCGCCCTACTCCTTTGAGCCACAGGCACTGCTTGTAAGAGAATCTCTTAAGCCCAAGAGTTTGAAGTTGCTGTGAGCTATGATGCCTTGGCATTCTATCAGGGGCAACAAAGTGACACTCTGTTGCCAAAACAAATTGTTAAAAATAATTTAACAGAAAAGAAAACCTTTCACCTAAGAATGAAAACTCAGAAGTTATTTTTTAAGAAAAAGACACATTTGTTGATATTAAACTATTTAAAATTGTTTATGGCAAAAGATACCTTAAATAAGGTACCAATTACATCTATTTGCAATTCAGAGAACAGACAGTGGCTTAGTATCTATTATACACCAAGAGTTCTTACAAATTGATAAGAGACAATTGCCCAATAAATAGAATGGATGAAGGATATAGAGAAGCAATTCACAGAAGAGCAAATCCAAATGACTAACAAAAATTGATAAAGATTCTCAAACACCCTAAATCTAAAGGAAATACAATTTAAAATAGCACTGCTGCAATCCTTTACAACTATTAAACTAGGAAAAATTAAAAGTAGCAATAACATCATTTGCTCTCAGAGATACAGGGAAATGAATACCCAATTACTGCTTACATAGGGTTGACAGTCAACCTGGCAGCATCTATACAATTTTATATATATATATATATATATATATATAGACCCTTCAGCCCAGAATAATTCCTCCCCTAGAAATCCAGTGCATAGACACAGAAGAATCAGTATATGCAGCTTTATATTGAAGAATTGCAGCCCTGAAAAACTGGAAACAAAGTGAATGCTTGTCAACAGGAGAGAGTTGAATAAAGTCTAGTAATTCTCCCCTTAGACTATTATGTAGCTGTAAATAAGAATACATTAGAGCCATGACTGTTACCTTCGTTGAGAAAGTGCTCACTTTGGCAGCACACATACTAAAATTGGAACGATGCAGAGATTAGCATGGCCCCTGTGCAAGGATGGCACGCAAGTTCATGAAGCATTCCATATTTGGGGGTTGGTGGGTTGGAACCCAGCCCAGGCCAGCTAAACAACTATGATAACTATAACAAAAAAATAGCCAGGCATTGTGGCAGGCACCTATAGTCCCAGCTACTGGGAGGCTGAGGCAAGAGAATCACTTAACCCCAAGAGTTTGAGGTTGCTGTGAACTGTTATGCCACGGCACTCTACCAAGGGCGACATGGTGAGACTCTTGTCTCAAAAAAAAAAAAAACTTCGTTGAGAAAACAAGGATGCAAAAAACATTTTTTTGTACGCAATATTATTAAAGCCTTGCATACTATTGTGTACCAGTGTATGTGCAAGTCCTTAGCGTGGATGTCTGGGGAAGCCACTGTACAGGGAGGGGGGGGAGGTGCGTAGAGGGATGGCAGAAAAAAGGAAAAGAAAAATCAACCAAAGGGAGAGATGAGTCTGGTGTGCACTTGGCCCAGACCCCAGGGGGCGGGGGTAAATCTCCCTTGAGATTTACCATGTCTGATAATAAGGATGCAACACGGAGCCTTTTCCCCTAACCCTTGGCTCTGGGAGACACAGGCTTATCTGCTTATGCTTAGCTTGACTCAGAGCTAGTCAATAAACTTATTCCTGTTTCTGCTTCTTCAGCGATAAGATGGCAGTGAAAATCTCACCATGTGCTCTGCGAAATAAGAGGAAATGTATATCATCATCTCTTTCTCCAGTTTCTGGCATAAAGCTCTTAAAACCCTTGTAGTTTCCTGGGCGGTGAGAATTGTGGGAGAATCTTTTGTCCTAATATTTGACCTCTGCGCTGAGCATCTGGTGCTGTCTCCAGGTAATAGTGCCAGACTGAGTTGAACCATAGAAGCCCCAGGCAGGGTCTGCCAGAGAACGGCTTGGTGTGTGCGGTACAACTCCCACCACCTGTGTCACAGGTGTTGGGCGTAAAGAGGTCTTCCCTCCGCTCCTGCCCTCCCTCATGAGAGCCCTGAATTGCAGGTTTCCCTGCCTGCCCCCTCCCCCACAAGCCCTTTCTTGGAGACTCTCCCTCCCCACCACTCCTCCTTCCCAAAAGAACCACTCGATCTCTGGAAGCTCATTCCCTGGCAGCTGAGCAGGGGCCCCTGGACTCAGGGTCCGTGTGAGTCGAGAAGGCCCAAAGACCAGGCATTCCCTGACAGCTTCCCAGCCCCCAGCCCCAGTTCTGCAAATGAGCTTTGTTTCCTGAGCTGGCCCCATGTGCCAGTTATTATTATGAAGTAGCAAACACCCCCAAAGTGAGGGGCCTTGGACAGCTGCTGCACTTACTCGGGATCCTGTGCAGTGTGCTTGGAGCAGGGCCTGTTGAGGCTGTCCTGGGCTGAGCTGAGGTCGGCTGTTCTAGGCATGGGTCTGTCACCTGTCTCTGTCCAGGTGGTCTCCCGTCCCACTCCAGGCCAGCTCAGACTTATTTTCACAGTGGCAGATGGGCTCCCAGCCCCAAAGCAGAAGCTGCAAAGCCTCTAGGGTCTAAGCATGGAGTGCAGTGTCGCCTCTGCCAGTGATGCGCAAAGCCAGTGAGGGGTCAGCTCAGACCCGGGGTGGGGAGGAAGAGGCTCCACCTCTTCATGGAAGGACCTTCAAAGAATATGGCCAAGTTTTTCACCCCTGCATCAGTTAAGTAACTACTTTTTCATTCTGTTATTTGATTAAGCTTCTGTCCCGTGAAGCCAGAGAAGTTGGGCTAGAACTTGGATACAGACACAGAGCACTGAGGAGACATCAAGTCCTTCCTTCCTTTTCCACTCTGTGAACACTTAATAAAGATAACAATTCCCTGGCCAGGCGCGGTGGCTCACGCCTGCAGTCCTAGCACTCTGGGAGTCTGGTGAGAGATCACTTGAGCTCAGGAGGTCCAGAACAGCCTGCACAAGAGTGAGACCCCTGTATCTAAAAACAGCCAGGTGTGGTGGCGGGCACCTGTAGTCTCAGCTACTCGGGAGGCTGAAGCAAGAGAATTCCTTGAGGCCAAGAGTTTGAGGTTGCTATGAGCTATGATACTACAGCACTCTACTAAGGCCAACAAAATGAGAGGCTGTCTCACAAACAAGCAAACAAAACAAAAACAGTTCCCATGTTGGTCACCTCCAGTGTGCCAGGCACCTATCTCATTTCAGGCACGCAGCTCTGTGAGGGAGGTGGCATCCTGGGTCTCTATCTGCAGATGGGGAGGTAGAGACTCTAAAGGGCCCAGAGGTTCTCTAAGGTCAGGCAGTGAGGAGGCAGCAGGTGAGGGTGGTGAGCTGGGGTTCAAGTTCAGGCATGTGGGAGTCTTCCCCGGCACTCAGCTGGGCCCTGGGGATGGGCCAAGGAGCTGGAGCTCCCAGAAGAGGAAGACGAAGGCCCTGCCACTCCACTGTCCCAGGCTGGTGGGAAGGGCAGAGGGCACATAGCCACCTGGGTCGAGTTGGCAGTGGTGGAAGCCATCGCAGCACTGGCGACTCAGGAGGGAATAAGTGTGCTCAGCGAGAGGATGTGGAGGAGCTTTGGAGCCACTGGGCAGGGCCTGGAAGGGACGGCAGGAGCTTGCCGGGCTGACAGGAAGGGTCAGGAGTGTGCTTGGAGAGATTCGCCCCCACTAGGGCCCGTGAACCTGCAAGGGACCAGCTCTTCCCAGCTGTGGCTGGGGTGACGAGAGCTGTTTGAGGAGAGCTGTGAGCCCCTGGAGCCCTGGCACTCTTCTTGTTGGGGCTGATGACTGAGAACCCGACTTGTGTGCCCTGGTGGTCAAGGTGCCCTGTGAGTTCTAGGAGAGCAAGGACCATGCACCTCTGATGTGTCCCTCCTCCAAGAGTGTCTATGTGGGAACTGATGTCTTGTGGTGCCCAGTAAACAACACAGGTGTTTCTGCGGAGCCCACCAGGTGCCAAGCACTGGGGCACTTAAGGATGTGGCCCAGGTCCCATCTCCGCTGTGTGCTGTCCATTCTGTATTTGTTAGCTGGTGACGACACCTGCCCCCGAGCCTCTGCTAGGGGTGGCATCTCAGATTCTTGGCCTGTGTCTGGCTCTTCACAAGGACTCACAAACCTGATGATTATTGAAGACAGAGTCAACGCCCATCCACTGACCACACAAGGTGAAGGATCCACTTCAACGCCGCTGCTCGGATTTGAGTTGATCTCTTTCCTTGGTCATTAGGTCACTTTGTGCTAGTACACGGTGACTCTTGAAACAAAGGGCCAGCTAGTAAGTGTTTTCCAATGAGTGTATCTATTGAGCTCAAGCTGAGGGGACTCAGAAGCCCCAGAACTGCTAAATTATGGTTGTTTTTTTAATTTTTTATTTTTTGAGACAGAGTCTCACTCTGTGCCCCTGTCTAGTGTGCTGTGGCCTCAGCCTAGCTCACAGCAATGTCAAATTCCTGGGCTCAAGTGATCGTCCTGCCTCAGTCTCCTGAATAGCTAGGACTACACATGCCCTCCAAAACACCCAGCTAGTTTTTCTACTTTTTAAGGAATTCTCCCACCTCAGCTTCCCTGAGTGCTGGGATTACAGGTGTAAGCCACCATACCAGCCTGATTATTCTTATCCAAAAATTCAAATATCAACTATAACTAAGAGGTGACCGAAACTCTATATGGAGACATTTGTGTGACTATTAAACACAAAAATCTCTTTCTGCTACCTGCACAAGAGGACCTCCAGTTTTCACTTCATAAAATATTTTGGTTGTTTTCGTTTTTTAATTGAAACTTCCAGAAGAATATTCTACAGGCACTAAGCTCTGCCCTTTTCCTAGGAGCAACCAGTGTTTTCTTCCTCTTGTGGTGGGAGCTCCTGCACTGGGGTGTGATAAACAGCCCCTCTCTGCACTCCCACGCTGCCATCCATCTTTATTTTTTAAGTTCAGGTGGAGGTCAACAGCGACCAGGAGAAAGGAGGGCTGACAGCCTGCATCTGCGGTGAGCAGGAAGACACAGCATATGCATTCTGGGTTTTGGTGGGGTTGATGTGTGGGGCACACACCCACATGCTGCTGTGCAGACTTGTTCCCACAAAATGTGTCTTTCATGGAGGGAGGGTGCTGTGGACTTATTTGAATGGATGTCTCTGAGCATTGTTCTGGGGCGAGGCATTCAGAACTGCACCAACAGACAGAGTCCTCACAAAGCAGGAGCAGAAACGGAGCTCCTCCCTCATCACCGTCACTTTCTGTTCTTCCCCGCCCAGATCACATTCATTCATTCACTCAATACTTACTAAGTATCGTCTGCGTGAAGGGGATGCAGAGACAAAAAGCCCAAGGTTCCCCCTATAGGGGCTCACATCTGGGGAGAAAAGAATAGAGAAAGAAAAACAAATAAAGGGCGGGCGCCCAAGGCTGGCAGCTTGGTGGACACAGGACACCCAGTTCAGCCGTGGGACAGGGAAGGCCTCCTGTAAGCTGACATTCACATCACAGAAGCAGCAATCAGTGCAAACATTCAGAAGAGGGGAGAGCCAGACAGGTTCAGTGGTGGGCCAGGCCCACAGGACCACGCAGGACACTGGCCACACTGCGCCACAACTGTGTGCTGAGTTATGCACCCTGCTACTAGACTGTCAGCTCCTACAGGGTCAAGATGGTCTTTCCCTCACTGGTGGCATCCCCAGTGTCTAGCACTGGTGAGGCCACTCAGGGAATGGGGAGTGTCTCACAGTTGAATCTGTAATGGGCACCATTTGGTCCTGGCCCCACCAGGCCTTGGCATCCCTCCTGATTTGTGGAGCCTGGGACTTGGGATTCTGTCTCTGAGTGCTTGCTGGGTCTCAGGGCCCACCTCTCTGGAACCTTATCTCTGTACCAATTCATGGAAACAACAGTGAAACCAGCACAGCCATCGTGAAAATGCCACAAAAGGAATCTTTTAAACCTGACTCAGAAACATCAATGCTATCTCCAAAAATAGGACAAGCTTCTCATCTTTGGTCCATAAATTAATGGCAAATGAAGACACATGGTTAGAACATCATACCCTTTTCAAAATAAAATATTCTTTGATCAAAGAAG